GAGCCTCAGATGACCAGCGGTTCTCATTTTGGTATTAGGGCACCAGGCTTTCAACCGTGGCCGACTGAACGACGTGACGCGGGATGGCCTGGTACTAGTGGCCAACCGCTGGACACTTTGCCTTCAGTACCTCGCGCGAATGAGCTTCGTAACTTGGCTATGTTGGGAGATTCGAATGGAAATGGTGCGGGCATGCGGGTTAAGCCTGAAATGTCGGGTCAGCAGTCTTTGTATCATGCTTTGTCGACGTGGTTGGTCATTAGGAATATAAATCCGAGGGTAAGTCATCACAGCTATAAGGTTTATAGACCCATTGCACTGACGCCACAAATCCTTAGAGTGTCCTCCAGATGCTCCCTAACAATATCTGTTCGGGTACAACAACCACATACAGCACAAAAATTAACCATTTTAATACAAAATTATTATAAAGTTTTACGAAATTTATATTGTGCGTAGATTTTGCTAATTTGTCCTCCAGATGCATCGTCACCGGCGCTGTGACGTCATGTGCAATGGGTCTGTACTACTACTTGCAATCTAAACTAAACCTCGCAAGTTCTAAACTGTTTTCCCTAGACGTCCAGATACGGACTAATATCAGTGGCGTAGCTAGTCATTTCAACTGGTCATGCTATGCTAATAAACCTGCACTAAAATAGTTTTAAGACAATAGATTTCTACAGGGTGTCTAAAAAAAAGTATACCCTTTGAAATCAAGCCTTTGTTGGAACTTGAATGCCTTATTACTGTACTTAAACACAATTGAATCGAATTTTATGCATGTATGCAATAATTTAACACAATAAAAACTCTTTGCTCTGTGCTCAGTTCAACCATTTTTGCTCGAGCTAACGGTGTGACTGATCAATAATTTGACCATTTAACATTAGAGGCTATTTTAAATTCCCAGGAGTAGACAATTTTGTACCTAACAAGAATAGAGTTGTTTACCCTGTTTTTGACGTTTCCCTGGCTTCAGCATAATGCTCAGGCCTTCAAATTAGGAAGAGGTTATTTCGCTGGCCTCAAAGTGACAAAACGTAACAAAGCAGCGGTTTTACTAACACTAACCCGATTCCGAACACCAACTCTAACCATAATTCAACCCTAACCTAGCCCTACTCCAAGTTTGTTTTTAAACCAATCCTGAAGAAAAAAATTTTGACGAAATGTCATTCTGAGGTCAGCGAAATAGCTTCTTCCTTCAAATTATTACAATAGGACAATTTCAATGGGTACACTTTTTTGAGACACCCTGTATAGGTTTTAATAACACAAATATTTAAAAATTTGCATAGCATGACCAGTTGCTATGGGTTGCTTCGCCGCTGACTAAAGGTTTGTTTACACTATCAAAGTTTCTGTGATCACAGTAGGAATTTTGCATAGGTAAATTTCAAGTTTTGAAGGATTTGTAAGAAATGTTCGAGGAGACTGACTCAGTGTTAAACACCAAGTCAGTTCCAGTAAACATTTCTTGCAAATCCTTCAAAATTTAGAAGTCTTAGAATTTACCGAAGCAAAATTCCTATCGTGATCACAGAAACTTTGATAGTGCAGCCATAAAGAACATTGGCAATAAAAAATAGTTTAGTTCATTTGAAAGAACTCGTAAAACTATATATTAAACTCTATTACAGATTGTTTATATCTTGCTTAGTTTTCAAAATATTTCGACTGAAAAAAGTGAGCTGTTCGCCATCTTGGATTATTGAGGATATGCATGTTACGTCAAGAGAGGGGGTCACGCTAATTTTTTATCTTGAGAGTAAGCTATCAATATGGGTTCAAAACCTTTTTTCTGGTTACTTTTTGAACTTTAGAAATTATTAAAAACATTTCAAACAATTTTGGATTGTTACTCGGTCATTGTAGAGTATAGTTTTATATGGTTAACCCAACTCTTGACGTCATCAGTCCAAGATGGCGGACACCTCACTTATCTAAATATTTCGAGAACTAAGCAAGATATGACAAATCGGTAATAGAGGAACGAACCAGGTTTCATGGAGCCACTGGGATGCCAGGAAATAGTATTTGGTACAACAATATTTATTTGTAATAATAACCCAAAACACACTGATCCATTGAATAACACCAAACATTTGTATCCCTTCAAGGTTGACTCCACAGCTCTGCGCTCTCTGTGTCAACAACATGGTCCATTACTAACATTTCAGTTAAATCTTCGTTATGGGAATAGTCTAATACGCTATGGAAATAAAGACGAGGCTGCCAAGGCGCATGCGAGTTTGAATGGCTTAGTTTTGGCAGGCTCTCGTTTGACTGCTGATTTTGCTACGGATTCAGACATTGGAAGCTTCTTTGAACAGAATTCTGATTGGTCAGCTCCTCAGCCCACAACTTGGGCAAATGCTCCAACGTCATTGCCTAAGACTGAGCAGAGCACTCCATGGCCCGGATCCAAACCTTTATTCCCACCCGCGAATTTCTCATCGGAGCTTTGGTCCTATAATCAGGCGGGCGGGTTGGCAAGTGGAGTTTGGTCGACCCCGCCAACCAGCCGACGGGACGGCGAGCACTCGACGGCAGTCACCGAGAATGGCATCACAAGCCCATCCATGGTTACGTTTTTGCCCCCAGGCCTTTTGAACAGCGGCGAGTCCACATGAACTTCAAATGAATGATATATCTTTTACCTTTGCTCGTTCGTGACGTCTGTTTGTTTATGTTATTTGTTTATGTTATTTGTTTATGTATGTAAACTAGCACTGAACAAGTGTTATGCTAAAATAATGTCGTCTGTAAAAAACGAGAAACAACATTCATTAAAACAGAATATCATAAGTAATTTTTACCTCATGTGCTGTGTTTGGCCGTTTGGCCCATGGTACTCATTGCTATCGTGCGAATAAGTATGTTAGTTTGTTACTGCACGTTTGTTACCTTCCAGCCAATCAGCGACCAGTATTACTATGTGATGGCCTGTTTGCAGGCTAAAGCATTTTAAATCAATATGGCGGCTCTGATATATGCCAAATATATGGTTTAACCTCCTAACCAATCATATTTCGTGACTGCGTGACATGAAAATGTAACCAACCAGTGTCAATAGAATTTGGTCACAATTCTAAGAAATAGCCGTGAATACGAAAAAGTACTTGCTACAATACATCACGGCTCAATATGGCGTCGCTATTTGGGAATAGGTCCATTAACTTAACCTACCACCACAGAATAAGGTACACAGAAGGCCGACTTCTTGGTTTTCCTATAATTTTGGCGTTGGTCCTAGCCATTGCGCGTTTGAGAGGCATTCACCCCCCTGATAATATTTAAAATGGCGGACGTCCAGGGGGATGCCTCAAACGCGCACTGGGACCGCCACAGTGGACCGCCATGATCAAAATGCCGACGCCATGGTCACAGAATAGGAAGTTATACCAGAAGCGTAACTCTAGTCGTTTCCCTTATTGTTTGACGTCCACGAAAATTTTAACTCGCTCACAGTTTTTATCAGGATTTGGTAGGTACAAAGTGCCGGTTGTACTAGCCAGGATGGCGTGATTGATGACGAATCGCTTGTAAAAACGCGGAAAAATATTTGCTCGAGTTCCGCTTGTAGTATAACTTCCTATTCTGTGCCATGGTCCTTATTCTGTGCTACCACTCCAGTTACAAATGGAGCTCAATGGTTCGACCATTACATATTTCACTACATAAAGTAGTACCATGTCAACATAGCTAAACCTCAGACCGTAGTTACCGCTGGCTCGCTTCCTTCCAAATCCGTCAAATTTCACTAATAAATATTTGTGTGAAATCATTTTCACTTTCCATGTAAATTTTTTAGACATTTGCATCGCTTCTCACCAGGTATGAGTTTAAATTTAATAGTTTTAGACATACCCTAGCTGTACGTACTACAGTTTTGCTTGTGTGCATGCTATTTGTTTGTAAAATTGCGGTTTAATTTTGCACGTGCGTTGTGTGTGATTTATATATTTTCAATGTTTGCGGCCAGGTTTATTGGTCATATTATAGTACCCACCTAATTATTTAATGGCCACCACCCCCGCTTGTTATGGTTAGCTTAGAATTTTTTTGAAAGCCGTGCTTCGAGTACAAAAAACTAAAAGTTTCAATATTTTGTGGTCCTGTTTTTTGTCAGATACAAAATTAAAGGTTTTGGGCACTTTACCGTACCGGAGTATATAATAAATACTGTGTGTAATTGTAGTAAATGTGTGTTTTTCATGGCTTGTAATTCTGTATTTTACAACCCATTTTTGATAGCATATCTTTGCCGATTGGGTCGTTCCGGAAAACACTTGTACCTCCTCCGCAGAGGAAATTGGAAGTTAACCCCCCTACCCCCGTTGGGTGTCCTAATACACTTTCAATTATCAGAAACCAATTTTTCTTTCTTCACTCTGCTGATGACAGAAATTTCTTTCTAGACCGATGCTCATTATGGGGGTACGGCAAAGTGTAAAATTTCCCAAGGCTTCGTATGTGAATATTATGTGCCTTAGGCCAAATAAAGAAATTCCCGGTTTCTCATCAGTAATTTTTTTAAATGTAAATGAGGAGCACATTGTTTTTTTATTTTTTAAAATTTCATTTTCACATTTAATAGTGAATTTGTCACTGTTTAAAGCCATAAACTCTCAATCTCTTAAAGGTGATGTCCACTCCTGTGTGCATGCACAAACTTTGTTTACGTTTTGAACTTCTATATTTGTAAAATATGATATACTAACTCAATATCTAACACTCTTCTGGTTCGCTATGCTTATATAAACTCTACGTTTCAATTCAATTTTGTTCAATGTTTATATTTGGGGGTCCCCCTTTGTTATGAGCAGAACTGATGCGCAGAACGGAGTACAAAAACAGTAAAAATATATAATACTGTTCTGTCCATGGATAGTTGAAATGAAATAAAAAACATACAACAAATGGACCGCATAATTTGGACATTCTTTATCGTGTTCTGATATATTTATCTGGGACTTTTTTTATGTGGCTTTACAGCCCTCGAAAACCGTCAAAATTGAGGTCGGCAAAAAAATGTCAACCTAAATCTGACCTAGGTCGGCACGTTTCGGCATTTTTAAATCTGTTTCCATGTCTTGGAGCACTAGTAATCACATATTTACGAATAATTAAAATCGAAATATAAAGCATGCCGTTTTCCGCGTAAATGTGATCTACAGTAACACGACAGCCTTTCTTTTGGATTCTTACTTAGATTATATATAGAATACCCGTCAATTTTTAAACCTTACACCGAAGTATTTAGTTTATTGAACTACGAATCAAATTCTATAATCGCTATTTTTAATAACTATCAGCACCAAAAATATTCTTACTTGGGCTGAATTAAGGTCGGCAAAAATTTGCCAACCTGGGAGCTTGATAGGACGGTATTTAGGTCAGCCGAATGCCAACCTCGTTTTCAAGGGCTGCTTTAGTGATGCTTTAATTTCGAATGGTCAGTGCCACACAGTGAGAGAGAGAACTGAAAAATATAGGCAGGACTTTGATGCTTTGAGTGTTTGTTTGATTTTATAGAATTTTACTAGTCATGGATGAGCAACATCAAAGTTTAGATGCATTTATTCAACTTAATCCAAATTTCTGTGTTCCTGATCAGATGGTAGGAACTATTTCTAATATAAAGTAGCTGTGATCTCCACTCAGGGCCGTAACTAGATGCAATAATTGAGGGGGTGAACATTCATATACTCTTGTTCTGCCCAACGGATTTCCTTTGAAAGCAATTGTTTTTATGGTATGTAAATATGATTATATGAAGACCGTATTTACTCGATTGAGCGCCGCCCTCGATTGAGCGCCGCCCCCGAATAAGCGCCACATTTGAGATCAAATTTTTTTAATTAAAGAGCGCCGCCCCCGAATGAGCGCCGCACTAAACAGTGTAAAAACTTTCCACCGTCAAAATGGAGACATTTAGTGACGAAAACATTTAATACTTGTTTATTCCATTGTTAAAAGTTCTTGTTATAATTCACAAATAAATTTTTTTTACATCAGGGAGTGCCGCCCCTGAATGAGCGCTGCATCTGAAGCTCTGAAAATTTAAAGAGCGCCGCAGCGCTCAAACGAGTAAATACGGTATCCCCCCACCAATTATCGCGTCTAGTTACGGCCCTGTCTCCACTATAAAATACATCAACGGTTTTGTGGATAGATAGGGATACAACTACCTGAAAAATACAAGGAGAACTTTGACATTTCTAATGAAGACCCTTCGTCACGAAGTTAGGCCTAAAAAAATACCTGTGGTTACGGTTTCATATCGTGAAAAAATTAGGGTCGGTAGGTCGGAAATACTTTTTTTTTAAATATTTTTTTTCATGGTTTTGGCGTGTTTTTTTTTATGGGCGCGATTTGCAGTGGGGTCCCGACATCAATATTAACTAGAGATGCGTATTTCCTATGGACGAATTTAGGCAATTTGGTTCAATAATTAGTGTGACAACAGATGCCATTTTCGCAACCACCCGGAGAAAATAGGGTTGCACGGTCAATCGTGTTGAAAAATAATAGGGTCGGCAGAAAAAAATAGGGTCAGTTGGAACCGGAACCACAGGTATTTTTTTGTTGGGCTTTGGTTGGCTACTAACATTCCGACCTTCGCTTGAAAGTTGCACCTCTATCAATTCAAAGCTTTCTTATAAAACACAAGCTATTTTGTGAGCATTTTTAATTAACCCATCAAGTGTGTGCTCTCCCCTTTCAAGATGAGTAAAATTAGCCTTTCTCCTGGCTGATTTTTCCTCCATTTTGGGGGTACTGCCTCTCCCACGTTTGAGAGTCTCCGCACCACAAAATACAACTTATTATTATTAATAGTAATGTTTTACAGTTTACAGTTACAACAGTACCCCAAAAATGGTGGGTTTTAGCCTTCGTGTGAAAGGCTAATTGTCTGGCATTAGACTGAGTAAAATAATAAAGTAGGGTGCATCGCAATTTGATGAGTTAACTAGACACATTGGCAGATAGTCTGATTAGCCCATTCAGTACCAGTGCTTTCCCCTTGATGAGCAACATTGACTGGCGTTAGACAGTAAAATAAAGTAATGTCCAGTGAGGTGCAATGGGTTAAAAAATATAGTAGTTAACCCATTGAGCTGCAAAGTGTCTGGCACCCATGAAAAAATTATTTTTAGGCTTGTTTACAAACTATTTATTGCTGTTATTATTCCAGTTCGAGGACAGTGATATTGGCGCCTCAGAGGACATCTACAACACGGTGGAAATCGAAACGAGCGAGGCAGATGGTTATCAACCCGCTGCCGAGACTCCTGTCTACCGTCAATCACCATCGTCTCAAACCACATCAACAACCATGAGCAATACTGTAAAAACCCAGGGTATTGTACTATTGTTATTAAGTAATATTATTATCATCAATATTATTTTATTAAATTTTTTGCACCAATATAAAAATCATTGTTATATAAAATATAAAAATAAAATATAAAAAAACAATATAAAAATCATTGCGCTAATTGACCATTTGCGTAATAGACTAAATTTTGATCTCAACAAAAATTTCATTACAGCTTGAACGAGCATCACAACATTTCATTACAACATTTTGCAACGAAACTTTGGAATATTACTAATTTTGTGATGCTCCTTCAAGCTGTGATGAAATATTTGTCTAGACTTGTTTAGTTCAAAATTTAGTCTATTACGCAAATGGTCAATTCAGCAACTGAACAAAGTTTGGCAAATTTTGATATTTTGTACAATTCAAATGTTCTCTCTGAGAATGTTTGAAATTTGAATTTAATATGTCTTATCCTGGCCGTGCATCATGTAGGTCTGCAAATTAGTGCCGATCATCGGACATTGTCCAGCCAAATTTTACATTTTGTCCAATCAAAGCTTTTCATGACTGGACATGTGGTGACCGATCGATTTAGGCTGGTCAAATCTCCATTCTCAAAAAATTGTTTATATATTTAACAGTTTTTGTATCTGTGTGTAGCGCTAGATACTATGCTAGATCAACCTTTTAAAGAGGCTGTCAAGTCCGTAATGTAAACAAACGCTTTGTTTACATTTTGAACTCAGTGCTGCAGTTGTAAAATATGATTGGATACAGTATATATTATGCTAAATTTTTAACACTTTCTGGTTCGCTATGCTTGTAAATGAATACAGACTAGAGATTCAATTCAAGAAAGTTCAAAATATACGAAATATTAATAACATTCCAACGGTCGGATCCCGACCATTGGAATGTAAGCCTGCGCAGAATGTATGAGCAGAACGGACTTGTCAGCCTCTTTAAAGTGAGATAGTCGCATATCACATAAAATTGATGTAAAATTCAAAATGAAAATCAAGTTTGAAGATAATTTTTTTCCCCTATCAGGTAGTATGTCAGAGGCTTGCAGTACGCCATCAACTACCATGGCGCGTGGTACAAATCCAGTGAATCAAAGTGGAACTCGTTTGTCAACCACTACAGGATCAGGAAGCCAGACCGGCACACCAGTGGTTAACCCAGTGATAGCCCAACTCAATATTCCAATGGTCAGCGCAGTACCAACCCAGACCACCGTACCAACCCAGACCACCGTACCAACCCAGACCACCGTACCATCAGTTAACCATGCTCCGTTAAAAATGGTCTCAGTACCCATCAATTCAGATATAATCACCCAGGGGAACAGTCAGGTGGTTTTAATACCCATGGGGGGTATGGACTCGGCGAAACTTGAAAGCACCCTCAAAGTGCCCGAGGGCCAGAAACTGGTCATTATAAAACCACAGGAAATCTTGAAAACCATAGAGGAGAAAAAATCACAGAAAAACCCTACCATGGTTGGAATGAGTGCAGAACAGACACGGAATTTAACCATTGCTCAACAGGGGATTCTCTTGAAAGCTGCCAATCAAGGAAGCCTTCAACAGATACCTGTATCTCAGGTTGGTGTAATGGCGAATCACCCTGTACAAGATAAGAAAGGATTGGTGAAATTATCTCCAAAGAGTGTTCCAGTCCAACAAGGTGTTCCCATTTCGCAAAATGCTCAACGTGTTTCAATCTCGCAAAGTGTTAGCAACTCTATGCAACCGAGGCTAACAGCCCAGTTGCCCAAAGCGACGATGCAAAGTGTTTCAGCTACGGGAGTGCCCCGACAAACACTTCAGACCAGTACGGTTAACAATGCTGCAATACCTAGACCGGTTGTCCCTGGGCCGACAACTATTCTACTACAAGCAATGGCGAATCAAGTCTCCAAGTCATCTGATCAAGCGGTGAGAATGAAGACCATTGAACAGGGTGCAGAAATCAAACAAACGCCAAAAACGACCCTACAAAATACAGGTAGCATGACTCATACAGCTCAACCCAAACTCACAACAAGCACAGCAAACAACACAGCTCATCCAATCGGTCAAACCCGTGGCCCAAACACCACCGTAGCTAATGGGACCACTTCCAAAACCAGTGTGACTACTTCTCAAACCGGATTGACCACTTCTCAAACCGGTTTGACCACTACTCAAACCACTTCCCAAACCAGTATGACCACTTCCAAAACCGATTTGACCACTTCCCAAACCAGTGTCACCACTTCTCAAACCAGTGTCACCACTTCTCAAACCAGTGTCACCACTTCTCAAACCAGTGTCACCACTCCCCAAACCAGTTTAAGTGATACAAAGCCAAATGTGTATCAGACATTGAAACAAAAATTGAGGGAAGTGAATTCGGAGCAAACTCAGAGCAATACAGCAAGCGTAAAACAAACTGAAATATCAAAAGAAGAGGCAAATCCGATGGGGAATAAGCAATCAAATACACAACCAACTCAAAATGAGAAAGTACAAAGCAATCCCCATGTTGCGAAAACTCCTGCTCAAAAAATCATCGTCACGTATGTTTCGCCCGATAAACCAGGAAGAACGGATGTCACAACTGACAAGCGAACTGGGGCTTATATTCAAGTACCAGCAAAGATGAAAGGACACGAGATGAAGCAGAGTAACACAGCGCAAAGTGCAAGAGTTTTAAATGCATCAAATGCTTCTAAGCCTGTAATGAGTGGCACTTCATCACAACCTGCGAGTGGGCAAAAAACGGAAAACGGGCAAGGTCCCAAAACTGTTCCCAGAATTTCCTCACCAATCAGGCATAATAAAACGGAAAGGGACGTACACCAAGTGGAAGGTACCTTGAGTAGCCCGAATTCTAGCGATACACCTTCAACAAGCGGGCAACCGAATCGGCCCTCTATCGCAGAACATGAAAACACGCTTAATAATGTTGTCACTAAACGCGGAAGACCCAGAAAAGATCAATCAATTTATAGAAGCAGTGTAGCAAATAGCAAACAAGATGTTAAGAAACCCTTATCGGGACCAACTCTTAAACACGAACTGGACAGGCAAGGCTGTTTCTCGGCAAGGCCGAAGTCGTTGAAACTAAACGAACATCAAATTAAACCCGTGAAACATAAACGAGTATCCATTACAAATCCGTGGACATGCGCATTGTGTGGAAAGGTTTCCTTTGCGAATTCTTTGGGATGTTTGTACGGACCTTACGACGTAGACGATGATATAGCGAAGGAGGGATCGGGTAGAGGCGAGGGGCATGATAGGAGTGAAGGGGATGAACCCCAACCCAAAAAGAGGCGGGGTTCAAGTGAGGGGTGCAATGAGGATGAGTTGTGGTTTCATGGTGATTGTATCGTCTGGTCCCCCGGGGTGTACGCCCTTGGAGAGTCGCTGGTTGGACATACCCAAGTTGTTAATGATGCCCAGTCTAGGGTAAGATTTTGTTCTTTTCTGCTTCGGTAACAGTTTCCTCTTTTCAACCCATCTTATCAGTTCATTGGCGAAGAAATTTTAAAATTCAACGCTGTTTAAGCCAAGAAAATCAAAGCTAAAGTTTATGTAAATGAACAAGATTTTTTATCATATATTAAAAACTCATTAATAATTCATGAGGAAAATACAAAAGAAATGAATGTTTAATCAATGCTTGTAAATCGGATAAAGATTTGTCCTGACTTACATAATCTTCACCTTTGATTTTCTCCGCTTAGACAATGTTTATTTTAAAATTACTTCGCCACTGAACTCATAAGATGGGTCGTTTTTTAATCACGTTAAAACACGAGCAGCCGATCTTTATCTGATCACAGAATAGATACCGGACCAGAAGTGTCACTCCTATTTGTTTTGGCTGAAGGAAAACGTCCGAAATTTTTTTGCGTGCTATGATATGAGATATCTATGGCTATGATGCCATCCTGGAGTGCACCCGGCACTTTGTACCTATGTTTTCCTATGAAAAACTTCCGTGTGCACTCCAGGATGGCGTCATATGATGGCGTATTTTCACGTCAGCACTCGTAAAATTTCGGACAAAATATCATCTGAGTGACACTTCTGGTCCTGTATCTATTCTGTGATCTGATATACAAATTCTCGCCTTCGGCTCGAGATACAGATCGGCTGTTCATGTTTTAACTGGTACTCAGAGTAACATGACACAAGCATCTTATTCACCTGAGTACATTAACCAACACAGCAAATATCATGGCACTAAAACCCCCGACACGGCAGTAATTTCCTTTGTAGTTTCCTCATGAATTATTAAGAGACAATTTTGTCACGTATTTGCAAAATGTCACGTATTTGCAAAATGTCACGTATTTGCAATGAAAATTGAAAAGTGTTCAAAACCTAAAATCTTTTTGGCGTTCCTTTCAAAATTACTTTGTTTTAGCTTAATTCTCTAGTTTATAGAGTTAGCTACCTTTTTAAATGCATGCATCTGCCTGTTGAGAAACATAAAATAATAGTTTAAAATTGTCAATTAAAATACAATTATCAACGATGCTTTAAAATTGACACCATATTTACAGCCATATATAAGCAAAACTCACTGAACTTCAGACATCATTTTCTCTTTGGCGTATCATCTAAAATCTCTTCACTTTAGCATTATTTTACAGATAAAGCACTAAACATACTTTTTAAGTTTGTTTGCCGATTGAGAAACGTATCGAAAAATAAAAATTTTGAATTTAGTCATACCCTCAAGCGATATATTATACGTATTAGTTTTGAGCGCGTGTTACGTGACATACAAAAAAATCTCTTCTTAATGAGTTTTTTATAAATATATATGTCGTTGTAGAAATGTGTCTACTGTGGCAATCCTGGTGCCACCTTGGTGTGTTTGCAGAGGACGTGTAGGAAGCAATATCATTTTTTCTGCGCTAAGAAAACTGGTAAGTTGAACCTTGATTCTTGCGGAAATGTTTCCCAATGGGAGGATGGTGTCTGGGCTCAAAAATTTTTAATGGATGATTCCAGGTATAGACTAAATTTTGATCTAGACAAGAAGAACAAAATCCATCACCACAGCTGGAAAGAGCGTGTTAAAATTAGTAAAATTGTAAAGTTTGGTGCATTTTCCGTGCGTAAATACTTAACAAATATAAAACATTTTCCGTGTAAACGTCGGAAAATTTCTTTCTTTATATTTCTTTGTGCTATATTATAAAACAAATATAAAACATTTTTTCCGAATTGATATACAGTTTTAGTATTTTTGCACAAGTCAATATAACAAATCCTACAAGTTGATTGGTCAAATTTGACGTATTAAGCTGTTATATTCACCTACAGGTGAATATAACGAAACTGAAATTTTCAAAATGGCGGCTAGTCGTTTTGTGGAAGTTTACTGACAAAGAAATAAGAGAAATTAAAATAAATTCAGCACCAAATAACACAAAAGACTTCTGCAAAAATACTAAAACAATTATTCACCTCAGGCTCGGTGATTATCAGGGAATATTCACCTCGACTTCGTCTCTGCGAATATTCCCCGATAATCACCTCGCCTTCGGCGAATAATTGTTAAATATCAACACGAGTGGAGGGCGGAGTGTTTTCACACAACCGAAGGGCGGAGTGTTTTCACACAATTTCGAGTTTTCCCAATTTCCACGAGTGTTGATATAACTGTATATTAATACGGAAAAAATGTTTTATATTTGTTTTATAATGTAGCACAATGAAATATAAAGAAAGAAATTTTCCGATATTTCTGTGTTGACATTGAGTTATATCAACACGGCTCTTATCCAATCAGCGTTCATAATTTACAAATGCTATATTATAATTAACAAATATAAAACATTTTCCGTGTTGATATACAGTTATATCAACACGAGTGGAAATTGGGAAAACGAGAAATTGTGTGGAAACACGACGCCCGAAGGGCGGAGTGTTTTCACACAATTTCGAGTTTTCCCAACTTCCACGAGTGTTGATATAACTATATATCAATACGGAATAAATGTTTTATATTTGTTTTATAATATAGCAATGTCAAAAGCCCGAAGAATAAGAAAAATTTCCGTGTTACAAGCGGCGGAAAATTTCCCGTGTTGACATGGAGTTATATCAACACGGCTCTTAGCCAATCAGCGTTCAGAATTTACAAATGTTATATTATAAAAATTAATACAAAATTTGCAAATTTCGCAGGGCTATATTTTCCTCATTTTACAACATTTCGCAAGCAAACTTTGCAATTTTACTAATTTTAACATGCTCTTTCTAGCTGTGGTGATGGATTTTGTTCTTCTTGCCGAGATCAAAATTCAGTCTATACCTGGAATCATTTATTGTACTTGACTAGTACTCAAGTGCTTATTCCCGCGATTTGCATAGAATATTTAGCCAAGGGTCCCAGATCATTTCTGCAACTATTTTATGTCCGAATTCTATGTACGAGTATTGATGTTTGATTATTTTCATTTAGGCTGTGTATTTGAAGAATCTAATTATACGATTCAGTGTCGCAAGCATGTAAAGGTGTGTAATGTATTGAATATCTAGAGAGATCAGTTTAGAATTGATAGAGATTTTCAGTATAGATAAAGTTAGTAGTATATAACACTGGGTCAATAGGAGATCATCCTTATACTGAACCTCTAAAGAGAACAGCTTTAAACTGATAGAAGTACCCAGTTTAAATAGAGTTAGTTTAGTTTAGGTTTCCTTCTGTAGTAACACTGGATCAAATAAGAGATTACCCTTACTGGACCTCTAGGAAGAACAGTTTAGAACTGATAGAGCTATTCAGTATAAATAAAGTTAGTTTAGTTTAGGTTTCCTCCTGTAGTAACACTGGATCAATAAGAGATTATCGTTACTTGACCTCTAGGAAGAACAGTTTAGAACTGATAGAGCTATCCAGTATAAATAAAGTTAGTTTAGTTTAGGTTTCCCCCTGTAGTAACACTGGATCAATACGAAATGATCCTTACTGGGCATCTAGGAAGAACAGTTAGTGTAGTTTAGTTTAGTTTGAGTTTCTTCTTGTCGTAACACTGAAGCAATAACCACAAGGTAACCTTTATTTGGGTTTTGATTTTTTGAATTCCTTTGATATAGTAACCAAAGACTGATCGTATCCCAGAGCACAGAGAACCAAGGTGAGATCGTTCTTAAGGTGTCGTATAACGTCTCAAATTGTTTTAATGGAGAAACTCCGACTTGCTTTCACATATGACTGTGGGGGAATTGTGAAATTTTTTGCATTTGGGAAGACTTACGAACGTGGGTGCACATATATGTCTGATACAATCATGTACTGTTTTTTTTTTTACTTTGGTTTTGTCCAATTCGAAGCCGGATTGGCTTGAAGAAATTGATCGATTAACGGTTATCACAAAGAGTGATTACTACAAAAACGCTAGTTGTTTAAAAGTGCCCTATTCAAAGTGTCGTATTGAATAGGACGCCTTCTGGTTTTAATAGCCCAACATTTTGAGTATAGTGATAGTCATCTCAAATATATACATATTCAGATCGGCTTTCCTCGCACAAGCCATAGTTGTCTTAAAGTGCCTATGACACGAAATTTCACCCCAAATGTTTATGATTGCATTGTAAAGATCACTTAAAATGACTTAATAATTTCTTTTATAGAATTTTGGTAACTTGCTTCCTTTGCAAGATATTCAACTTTGTTTCATATGCAAATATCACCGGTGTGACATAACATCGCATAATGACATTTTGAAAACGCAATATTTTACCTCGATAAAATATGTTTACAAACAAATACAGAGAGTTAAATACCAGTTATGAAATTAATACATATACAAGGGCAATTTTTAATTTTTTTAGGTACGTATTCGTCAAGAAAACTATACTTTTCAGAAAACTCATTATGTGATGTGATGTCACACCGGTGATATTTGCATATGAAACAAAGTTGAATATCTTGAAAAGGGAGCAAGTTACCAAAATTCTATAAAAGAAATTATCAAGTCATTTTGAGTGATCTTTACAATGCAACCAACAACCATAAACCTTTGGTGTGAAATTTCGTGTCATAGGCACTTTAATTAAAGCTATAAACCACCATTAATATTCTACATGCTTCGCGATATTTTTAACTCTTTTTTCGAGAAATTTTCCGCGACCACCACCATCAGACTCTTCCACGCTCATTTTTTCCCATGTTTTTTTTATTTTTCTAAACTATTCTCATAACTAAAGACAGCAAGATGCTTTATAATTTACACATTATTCAATGAAAGTCACATATATATCCTTCATTTAAATTTGTAAAATATAGCCGGAAAGTCACGCATCGTTATGGTTTAAAAACCCTGCGTATACAGAAACCACCAACTTTGACCAATTTTTGCGCTGTTCGTTTCGCAGTATACGTTATTTTTCAATGTTCGGATACCAGTCTGGTATTAGTATTACTAACAGTAAAAATGCATCCAGCTACTAAATCCGGGCCTGTATCTCTCGTAAAACTATTTAACAAAAGTATTTCTAAGTTTGTATTTTATGTACAAGATTCAACTTCATCCGTTGCTGCTATATGATGGAACACTTTGATTTCTCTGCCCACGGATTCTCTTTCTTGTCTACGGGCGTGATCAGAGGGTCGGAATTGATATTCTTTTGACAGTAATCTTTCAAACTAAACAAAAATATTGACATTATTAATGTGGATATAAGTAGTGTACAGTGTTTAATATGGAAATAGCATGTCCTCGTTCGAAATAGTGTGGAAATCCAATTTAATTGCAGTTTCTATAGACCATACTATATGGATATAGTATGGATTTAGTGGTGCAATGGACCATTATAGACTAAATTTTGATAGACAAAAATTTCATCACAGCTTGAAAGAGCATCACAAAATTAGTAATATTCCAAAGTTTCGTTGCGAAATGTTGTAAAATGCGGATAATATAGCCTTGCGAAATTTGCCGTTTTCAGTCATTTTCTATGACAAACGGGAAATTGATGCCCCAACACCCGATTGGGCTGTCAATTTCCCGTGCGTAAAGCCCGTTCTCCACTAGGCGAATTTTTTCGCGCGACGCGAAGCGAAAAACAAATCTTGGCAATGTGATTGGTCAGCGAAAAAATTCGCCGCGAAAAAGTTGGATTAGTTCCTACTTTTTTACTGTTCGCGCGAACAAATTCGCCTAGTGAAGAACGGGCTTAATGCAAAATGACTGAAAAACGGCAAACTTTGCAAGGCTATTTTATCCGCATTTTACAACATTTCGCAACGAAACTTTTGGAATATTACTAATTTTGTGATGCTCTTTCAAGCTGTGATGAAATTTTTGTCTAGATCAAAATTTAGTCTATAATGCAAATGGTCCATTGCAAATTTCATAGTGTGGATTTTAGGCTGATGCGTTATTAAAAAATCGATATCGATAATATCGACTATATCGAATTATACAAATTACGAAACGTAGTTTAGTCAACTTGCGTGTGTACCGCATCACAAACGGCAAAAAACCAAGGCTGGCGAGGAGAAGGGGCAAAATACCCGGAGTGCTCAGAGGGGCCCGGAAATCTCGGTAAAATGTTCGTATTGTTTATCATCGCTTCATGTTTGTTCTAAATGAAATACGCCTACTTGCACAATATCCGCTGATCGTCGTCATCGATCGTAAAACGTACCAAATGTGAAATAAACGATTTTTCGATTGTTTTCTCAGCAAAAACAGTTAGCTAAACATCGTTCACATGCATTGCGTTTTTATCAGTTATGCGGCGATTTCTTGCAAGTAATTTGCTGGCAAATTCTCTCGTTGATTGCGATTAAAAATAGTCAGCGGGAGAGTCGAGAGGGACAGGGTGCCCGTGTTCACCAATCGTCATTTTGCCCATGGTTGCCCCTCGCCGACCTTGCAAAAAACAAAAGCTGAATGAAACAAAGGATCTTTCTTATCACTAAGTAAAGTAAATCCAAACAGGACTTCGTTAATTCGACATATTGTCTAGACTTTCCTTCGCAACAGAACAGCAAGTTAGAATGCGCTGTGATGGATTGATCCGCGATACGCGCCAATAAGATCGTTATTCAAACTTGTGCAGATGCCATGTTTATGAGTCATCACACAGTCATTGTTTTCAAGCGCTCAACTGCCACTTGTGTGGGTGGTGATCTTCTCAATTGCCATGCACGACACAATTTCGAGCCGGTGTTCTTTATACATTTATTACACTTAACCAAGAGCGGTTGCGAAAAATGCAACTATAAGCCCTCTGGCAGGAAATTATAATAATTCACACAAGCAATTCCATCTGCAAAATCCTTGCATTGCATTACCTTTCACCAGACATGGAAAAAACAGTGCAATCTTAGCAAAAAGATTGTATTTAGTTATTAATGTATTTAAGGAAACCTAAACTATACTAACTTTATTTATACTGGATAGTTCTATCAGTTCTAAGCTGTTCTTTCTAGAGGTCCAGTATAGGGATCATCTCTTATTGATCCAGTGTTACTACAGAAGGAAACCTAAACTAAGCTAACTTTATTTATACTGGATAGTTCTATCATTTCTTCTAAACTGTTCTTCCTAGAGGTCCAGTAAGGATCGTCTCTTGTTGATCCAATGTTACTACAGGAGGAAACCTAAACTAACTTTATTTATACTGGATAGTTCTATCAGTTCTAAACTGTAAAATCTGTTCTTCCTAGAGGTCCAGCAGGGATCATCTCTTATTGATTCAGTGTTACTACAGGAGGAAACCTAAACTAAACTAAACTAACCTTATTTATACTGGATAGCTCTATCAGTTCTAAACTGTTCCCCCTAGAGGTCCAGTAAGGTTCAACTCTTGAGGAACATTTAAAAATTTTCACACATACATTATGAGAGAATCTCAAGGACTTCTTCATTTGTCATTTGAGACACGTAACATAAATAAATACAGTCAAGCATGCACTGCTGTTGTATAAGCTACATAAGGGTGTTACGGTTCAAGTTTCCATGATTTTAATTTTTCATGGTTTTTTGCCCACTTTTGAGAAACATTTGAAAAAAGCAGGTTCAGCATCCGAGGAACATTAAACACTTTGTTAGGTCTGCCTTCTCTGTGAGCAGGGTATGATTCCTTCACTTAGCAGTTGTCTGTTTTGTTCCATTTCTATGGATTTGCGTGAGAAGACGTTTCCGTTTTGGTAAGCTAAACTTCTCAAGGAAATAGGATACTTGGTAGTTGCGAAAATCCTGTACTTAAAACGCCGGATGTCTTTGTTTTGACATGGTATTGATGTAGGTGTAGCTGGATTAAGAAGGCCCTTCCATGAGGAAGAACAATTTAGAACTGATAGAGCTATCCAGTAAAAATCTAGTATAAATAAAGTTAGCTTAGTAATTTTAAGGTCCAAAGGAATAGCTTTATTAGTTCTAAACTGTTCTTCCTAGATGTCCAGTAAGGATCATCTCTTATTGATCCAGTGTTACTACAGGAGGAAACTAAACTAAACTAACTTTATTTATACTGGATAGCTCTATCAGTCCTAAACTGTTCTCCCTAGAGGTCCAGTAAGGATCATCTCTTATTAATCCAGTGTTACTACAGGAGGAAACCTAAACTAAATGTATTTATGCTGGGATAGCTCTATCACGTCTAAACTGTTCTCCCTAGAGGTCCAGTAAGGGTCACCCCTCTTTTCCCAGTAATATATAAATATTACAGGTCTGAAGAGAACCTCCATGCAGTATTCTGGAAGCACTCTTCTCATGCAGTTGAGGTGAAATTATAATCAGACCACTGTATAATGCAGGAATTGAACCCCATTCGCAGAAAAAAAGGCAAAAGTGAAATGCAGCGACAACGGTGTCAAAATCCCAACAATTTAACAAATTAGAATAGGGAATGTTACAATTTCGTATCGAATTGTTACAATCCTGTTGCAAACACACGCATACACTAACATTTTGAAGTCCAGCTTTATAAACAATAATTCCTCCTGATGTTTTATGAGTTATGTAAACAAAATTTTAATTCGGTTCAATTTCGAAATTTGTGCTTACATAAATTACAACTGATGCATAGAGATTTGAAAACATGAACAATTCTGAACCGAACCCAATTTTATTTTAGAACGCTTGTCATATTTATAATTGCTTCAGTTTAGTCTATGCTCAAAATCTAATATGAAGAATATATATATATACTTTGATATGAATTTCATAAATTCTATACATTTTTGCTGCATTTTTATCGGCAGCATTTTGAAAGAACTCCTTTTCAACAGCATTTCGAAAAATTTTGTTTTCACAAATGGATCTATTCGAAATATTACGCTGTCATTCTAGAATTTTTGTAAGTAATTGAACATTCATATATCATTAATAACATGTATTTATATGTTAATATATAGTCCCTTGTCTGGTGTCTTTTTTATTACGCGACCTGTCTTGCAAAAAAAATACACAGAAACATCCCAAAATGCGTTCGGAATATGCACCGATTGTTCCTCTGATGAAGCGCGATAAATTTGGGAGATTTTTATGGCACAGAGAGACATTTTGTAAAAACAGAAAACCCGAATGATTAAAATGACTCATTTGCATCCATTGATTGTTTCGGCTTAATACAAAGCCAGTGTTTTGCTTTACTCGTTTAGATACACTAAATATCGCTGGGGTTTTTAGCCTTATAAAAAGAAGATCTATTAAACCTCACAGCGCTAAAACCTTCCCAAATTCAGCATGGCAAATGGCCTTGTAAAATGCATAGCGAAATATTACAGACAACAGCGTGTAAGGTTGCAAGGACGTGATGCACGATTGAACTCCGTCTATTGTATATATTCTTTCCTCTTATTATATCCTCTATCTTATATTTCACGAACTATTTTCAATTCTCGCTTTAAACTAAAGATCTGCCAAATGCTAAGCTATTTGGATTGTGTTGAAATTCGCTAAGGACCAGCCGTAAAATACAATAGCATCGAAAAATTTTCCTTGTGTTTACATGTATTGCTATATATACTTACTCCGTGCACGCTTTTGACATGGGGATCCTTGTTATATGTAGTTGATGTTTTAAACTTTCGACTGTCTTTTGTAGTTGCGATTTCTCCATATTTGAAAAGGTGTACCCGTCTTCTCCCAAGCGTGTTTCAAGGTCTTTCTGTAAGGCTCCTGGCAACTGGATCGTATTTATTAGACTCGCCCTGTATAGCGAGAATTCATAATGAAAATTTTAATCACTTGTCTTTGTTGCAAACATTTGAATGCATAATAGCTATAATCGTTGCCAGCAGATGGCCCGTGACAGGCTTGCCCAATCATCTTACGAGGATTCTTCATTTGACATTCAAATGAACGTTGGGTTCAAAACGTGTTTAATAAACAGTGAATCGCCGGACTGGAATTAGTTCAATATAAGGTCTGATGCCGTGATTCATGTCTGGAATATTTAAGTTTAAAAAAACATCGATGTTTTGAGAGAATGCCTTTATCAGGAGAACGCGATGTTGGTTACTATAGCCACAAGTCCAAGAGCATTTCTGTAGGCGTTGAAGTGTTCGTATCTTTTCCATCTAGTTCAGACACAATCCACGGCAGAACAGTTTAGGCATGAAACATGTATCTGTAACAGTGGGCCTGGTTTGCCTCCCTTCGGGAAACATGGCTAGGAAACAAACAAACAATGTTTCCTGGTTTGTCCACCTTTGGGAAATATGGCCAGGAAACAATGTTTCCTGGTGTGCCGACCTTTGGGAAACATGGCTAGGAAACAATGTTTCCTGGTGTGCCGACCTTTGGAAACATGGCTAGGAAACAATGTTTCCTGGGTTGCCGACCTTTGGGAAACATGGCTAGGAAACAATGTTTCCTGGTTTGTCCAGCTTTGGGAAACATGGCTAGGAAACAATGTTTCCTGGTGTGCCGACCTTTGGGAAACATGGCTAGGAAACAATGTTTCCTGGGTTGCCGACCTTTGGGAAACATGGCTAGGAAACAATGTTTCCTGGTTTGTCCAGCTTTGGGAAACATGGCTAGGAAACAATGTTTCCTGGTTTGTCCAGCTTTGGGAAACATGGCTAGGAAACAATGTTTCCTGGGTTGCCGACCTTTGGGAACATGGCTAGGAAACAATGTTTCCTGGTTGGTTTGTCCACCTTTGGGAAACATGGCTAGGAAACAATGTTTGCCGACCTTTGGGAAACATCACTAGGAAACAATGTTTCATGGTTGGTTTGTCCACCTTTGGGAAACATGGCTAGGAAACAATGTTTCCTGGTTTGTCCACCTTTGGGAAACATGGCTAGGAAACAGTGTTTCCTGGTTTGCCCACCTTCGGGAAACATGGCTATTGGAAACAATGTTTCCTGGTTTGTCCACCTTTGGGAAACATGGCTAGGAAACAATGTTTCCTGGTTTGCCCACCTTCGGGAAACATGGCAAAAAGAAACAATGTTTTGTGGTTTGGGGCTGATAAACAATATTTGCGTCGCTAGCTGGAATCTAAACGGGTTTTAAACCGCGTTGTTATGCAATAAATACAACAAAAACGGGTGTCAATTTCAAAAACCCAAACAGACGCTCTCAAACACACATCTGAAATGTCTGTGAAGAAAATCAGTGCATTGGCGACTATTTTTTGGCATTTGTTTCAACTCTCGAGTTGTAGTCTTGCGCATGTAGTGAAGTATGGCAACGTCAAGGCGATTAACTGGGGCCTGCCATTGGCCGGACATCGATTGAACGCCACTCCGATAGACACCAGCAAAGTCCCAAACCGTATCAAATGTATGGCGCAGTGCGGAAAAACCAAGGAATGTGTCGCTATAAATCTTGGCCCCGACCAAGCGGGAGAGCATGAGTGCGAATTATTGGACAGCACTCGATATCTATTGTTATTTCCGATAACGATCGAAGCTGGTTGGACCTATACTGGACCCAAGGTATGAAATACAGTTGCGAAAAAAGTCCTGCCTGGGACCTAAGTTGCATTTTTTGCAGCTGTTCTGGTTAGGTTTGATAAATGTATAAAAATTTACACTTGATAATTTCCATCTACAAGACCTTTCAACTATTATTGAATCGAGTCCACATCAGCTTTTTAGTTGACCATCTGTAGTTAACCTGCTTTATCAAATAAATTATGAATGAGGCTATGTTTACATTGTATCGGATCGGTTTTTGCTTCGTTGGCGCAACGTTACGGCCCAAGTGTAAACAGCTTCCGCTGCCGCCCATCTAAATACAAAAATATTATAGACATCATTTAAATAAGTGAGCAAGTTTTACCCGCAAATAAGATTAGAATATAGCAAGTTTTTGTTTCCCAGGTGCCATCTTGAGTCGCGCATTGAACCGAAAATTGCTCCGATTGGTGTTTACATTACAATGAGAGCGTTGTAAAAACCCGATCCGATACACCGCGCAACACTTCGAAGAGCGAACACCGGTTCGTTGCAGAAATTGAGCCGATAACAACATTTCATATGTAAACAGAAGCCCTATCCGGTATGGTTTTTGCGTCGGACGCAAAGTGATCCGATACAATGTAAACATAGCCTGCGTGAGATACCGACAAAATCTCGATATTTACCCCCATAACCTAAAAAATGGCAGTACCCTATTTTTTTTACATGAACTTGTGGTTAGAGCTCGACAACTGGACTCTGTAGCTCAGTTGGTTAGAGCACTGCACCGGAATCGCAGGTTCGATTCCTGTCTGGGACCTGAAGTTGCATTTTTCGCAACTGTGCCTGGTTAGGTCTAATAAGGGACCGGTCATAAAGTAATTACTAGAGGGGGGTGGAGGATAAATGAAAACTCAAGTACATATTTCCATACCCTCCCAAAAACCTATCGAAAAATTTTCGTAACCCCCCTTCAATGTAATTGAAAATTTTCATACCCCCACCCACCCCCTTCAATCATTAATAGGTTCTAATGGTGTTAGCTTGCTAGCATTGTCATTGACAGTTCAGATGGATCAGATTTGTACTCCAAAAGTTCCATGGATACTGAATCCTACTTATCGTCTGACATTGAGTGAGACTGAAACATATATCCTTTGTGTTGATTTACTAATAATTATAGTAAAACAGTCTTTCCAAACATAAATCTAGGCACAAATACATTCAATATTCAACAATAAATATAATTATAAAATGTAATTCC